AAAGAAAGAAAAAACGTGTCTTCATGATTCATCATAGCAAACAACATTAGAATAGCAATAGGCAAGCATCATTTTCAGTACATATCGAACTGCAGCAAATCCATAGACTGATAGACATGAAAGTAACAGCAATTTTATTTTCCTGTTGCCAAATAGTTTAACGTACAGCGAAAGTTTGAATTATGATACTCGAAGAGATCATTAAATATATTACCAGATGCCTTATCTAATATTTGTGTAATTAAGTCAGTTCCGTTTAATTTTTTTTTTAGAAATTCTCCATAATTTATTTTCGACGTAATTAAGTACTATATATCAATCATTATCAAAGACAAATTATTTAAATATATTTTAAACGTGTTCGTATTTTATTTGGAGATCATCAATTTAAACTTGTTTAATCCAATTGTATCTTTCATCTTAATTTGGAGCTTAATCACAAAAAAGCCGACAAGGACTGTTAGATAGTGAGTCAATATTACCATGTGAAGTTGAAGGTACTCCAATAATTGCAATGCAATGATTAAATAAATAGTAAATGCAATTAAGATAATTATAATTTTTGGGCCATTACTACAGTCCCATAATGTAAAAGGATTTCAATACGCGCAATGCAATCATTTTTTCTTTTAAAGATGAATTTTATTAACCACTAACGGATGTGTCATTGTTAGCCTCTAATTATAATTGTCAGAGACTTTCATTAGCATTAAGGACCGATACAAAACAAATTACAAAGATCAAGGTGCTCAAAGACTTTGGCAGTTACACTAAACAGACAGTAGCCGAAAGCACAAAGTCGAGCTGCCTGAACAAAACCTGGCCCCAGACCAAGAAGATGCAATCATAAACAAAACCACACCATTTAATAACTATCTAAAATCAAGACATTAGAAAGCAACCCTGAACGATTTTCGCATCCCAAAACAATATTTGCGGATTTCTCATGCTAGACTTGGGACATGATCACATGAGCTATTGGGCCCAAACTGAAGTACTCTTTGTTCGTCGTTGATGGTTCGTGGCCCTCGACGGTCTGTCATGCTATACTTTCCTTATTAATGTCCCCTTCAAACGCCTGTTGATCTTGAGGTAAAGAAGCAATTTTCAAATATTTTACGGTTGGAAGTGTCGGCTAATTAGTCTATATAAGCAGACTCTTGCTCTCTATTTTCACAAGTTGCTCCATCAATCTAGTAGATCATAATGGTCGTTTTGCTGTTCTTTGTTCTAGCCCTCCCCAGCCTCCTCCTATTCATTCTCCTAAAACAAAGAAACAATGGAAATATTCTTCTTCCCCCTTGTCCGCCGGGTCTTCCCTTGATCGGTCACTTACACATGCAAATTCTAGATAACTCAGCCCCTTATATTTTTTTTTGGAAACTCT